TTGGAAAGAAATCATGGGAAATATTTTGAACAACTTTATATTGCTGTCAAGCAATGAAATTTAAAGGTTTTATAGGAGTGTTTCTTTTAATAAGTTTTTATTAAAATTAACTTTTGCTTAAGAATGAATAAATGAGCACCTTTTGCATTGTAATGATTTTGGTTTGATCATTGAAAAACAAAGGACTTATAGGAGGGAGAAGTCTGAATACACACAGATTAGCTTTAACTTCTATTTTATGACTCCTTTCCTTTGTAAATACTGGCTTTTCCATTTTTAATATTTTGGTTGTCGTGTTTCAGTTTACATTTGTAGCAACTGTTGAAGCTATATACCCATTCCAGGTAGAATTGTTAAAGTAGTTTTTGTAGTTTTCCTTCAGTGGAGCTACCTTGAAAATTTGCTTAAAACTAAATCTGGGTTATGTTATACAACTGTGCATTTGTCAGAAGTCATAGAACTGTACACCAAAGAATGAATTTAACTTATGTAAATTAAAAAGTATATTTAAACTATAAATATGTCAGGAAAACACAGTTGAAAGCGAGAGAGGTAGTAGACAACAAGGTATATATTTGTTTACTTTCTTTGTTGCTATAAAACTTGGGAAATTTTTGCCCTGGTCATTGTGGCTCAGTTGGTTGGAGCATCTTCCCATACACCAACAGGTTGCAGGTTTAATTCCCAGTCAGGGCACATAACCTAGGTTGTGGGTTCCATCCACAGTCAGGGTTCGTCTGGCTACAGGATCAGTGTTTCTCTCTCTCTTTTCCTTTCCTCTCTCTAAAGTCAATAAGCATGTCCTTGGGTGAGGACTTTTTAAAAAAACACACACAAAAAAACCCAAAACACTTGGGAAATTTTTAATTGGCGGGAAAATAGATTTGGTGCTTCAAAATTGAGACCTCTTTGGTATTCAGAAACAGTCAAGAGAGAAATCAGTCTTGGAAAACTGGTTGCCTTTATACACTTAACATTGGTTAAGTTGAAATTTTATGTTTATCGAACAATAATTTTGTTTACAGAGTCTCTTGACGTTAGTAGAGCTTGATTTCTGCATTGGGGAAAAATTAGCCCCAAAAAGAGGAACTGTGTGTTTCTTCAAAGGAGTAAACTTTATTGATTTGTGTGAGCTACACTTTAAGAAAAAGGTCTATAAATTCCTTTACTGTAAAGCATACTCTTCACATAGTGAGACTAAAAAATCTTACTGTGTATTTTCTTTTAAAACTTTTTTATTTTTTTACTGATCTTAGGAAGGGAGAGGGAGGAAAGTGGGAGACAGAGACAGAGAGAGAGACATTGATTGGTTGCCTCTCACACACGCTGACCAGGAATGAAACCTTCGACCCGTTGGTGTATGAGAGGACGCACTAACCAGCAGCCACACTGGCCAGGGCTTCATTTAAAACTTTTGAGGCAACAAACTTGCCATGGTTTCTTGGATTAGGATATTATGTCTCAATTTTCTCTGAAAGTCACCTGTGGAAGTGGTCACATAGTTTTGTCATAGAGAAAGTTTTGAGTATAAAGCTAAGAAAAGAAAAGTGTTTAGCTTTTAAAGTGAATGAAAACAAGAATCTTTACATTATAAACCACACTTTTTAAGCTATATTATTAAAAATAGTTCAAACAATAGGATCTATTATACTTTTGATGCACTTTATAAAAAAGGGACTTTGCAAATAGTAATTTTTTTCTCAGGTTCATTTTAAGAACTATAAGTTGATTATGGCTTTGGGATGACTGTATTATTTCTAAATTTTCCTTTTTACTGTTTTTATTTTTTTTTTAATTGATTTCAGAGAGGAAGGGGGAGGGAGAGATAGAAACATACATCAATGATGAGAGAGAATTATCGATCGGCTGCCTTTTGCAAGTCCCTACTGGGGATTGAGCCTGCAGTTTGGGCATGTGCCCTGACCTGGAATTGAACCGTGACGCTAGGTCCATGGGTCGATGCCTAACCACTGAGCCACAGCGTCTGGGCTTCCTTTTTACTTTTGATAATACTTAATTGCCTTAAAATTCTTTTTGGCTCCTATTGCAGTGTCCTCAGTTTTCTTCAAAGTTTCCCTTTGCCTCGGTTGCCCTTTTGCTGCTCCTCAACCCAAATATGTCTCCTTTGCTTTTTTCCTTATTTAATATGCTTGAATAGGATTCTCTGGAAATACTAATCCTGCAAGGATAAGTAAACCCCACAACTTTCCTATTTATTCTGCCTGCTCCAAAATCTAGCCTTGGCATAGAATTCACAGGTGAAAGATGATAGAAGCAGTCAAGTGTGGAACAGGACGAGGTCAGGAGGACATTCGAAACTCTTCCCTCCCTGTCCTAGAGTCAGCGTTTTACAGCTGCTTGATGACTCCCTTCATACCCAGTCTCCACAGCCATTCTCTTCCCAGAGCTCTTCAAAGGTCATATGATTTCTGTGTCACACAAGATTTTTCAGAAAAGTAGCTCGCCACACATTTACCACATGACACTAAATTTGACAGAATAATCTTTGCTTTAATTCTACATCTAGATCTTTCACAACTTAACATAAAACTGTAAACTAATTAACCCTGCAAGCTCAGCTTATCTTTTAAATACTATTTATCTTCTGGATTGAGCTCTAATTGTGACTTGAAATTATGTTAAAAAAATTACTTATTTTTTATTATAAGATGGCCTTCAGATTATTAGACCCTATTTTTTATTTGGTGGTAACTCTATATATATGTGTGTATGTGTGTGTGTGTATATATTCCTAAGTAAAACTGAGGACATATATAGCACTATTTTAAAACTTTAGGGATAGAAGTTTTAAAATGTGCATATAAAAATAAATAAGCTTTGCATTGAGGTTTTGTTTACACATGTACAAAACAGTAGATATTTACTGTATTATAAATGAAAACAGACAACATTTAAGATATTAAATAACAATGATAAACCTATTACATATTAACATAAATTGTGAAAAGTAACTTTTTTGAAACATTTGTGAGAAGAGTGGCAGTGCTTTACATATAGATCTTTTTAATGAATTACTGTTTATTTATTTATTATTTTTAATCCTCACCAGAGAGAGGATATTTTTTCCATTGATTTTGAGAGAGAGTGGAAGGGAATAGGGAGGGGGAGAGAGAAACATCGATGTGAGAGAGAGACACTGATTGGTTGCCTCCCACACATGCCCTGACTGGAGGCAGGGATCGAACCTGCAACCCGGGCATGTGCTCTTGACTGGGAATTGAACCCTTAATCCTCTGGTGTGCAGACTGATACTCTAACCACTGTGCCACGCATGCCAAGGGGAATTACTGTTTAATAGAAGACATCTGGAGTCTTTTATTTGCCTCTGCTGTCATAAGTTCTTCAGGCTGAAATATACAAAGAAAATCAAATCTGGCCTTGCCACAGATATGTAAATGGTGAGGGGGGGAATGTTTTAATAGCCTTTTCTGATAATTGTGGATATTCTTTGGTACTCTACCAAAAGTCAGCAAGCAGTAGTTTCTTAAAGGTAAGTTGAGTATGGAATCTAGAATCATATTTTTGAACATATTTGGTCTTTCAGTCTTTTACCCTTGCATGATTTGTAACATGTATTGGTGATTTGAACTAGTTCATTCACTTGTGTTGGGCAGAGATCCACATCTTGACATATTTTATTTTATAGTAATCTTCCCCCTAAAAAAAACCCTACATTTATTATTATCACCACTTATCTCATTAGAAAAGTCTTTAATTAATGGGAAGCTGTCAAGCTCTTAAACGAAAATGTTTCCCATAAGTCTAGTTTTCACTCAAAAACTCAATTATTATCATTGGCAGAAATACTGTCATTTTTTTCCTTGCAGTAACAGTCTCATTTTGTTCATTTTCAAGAAAATATCTTCCAGATACCTAAATCTGAATGGCCATAGTTTTGTAATTTGTTCTTTCAAGTAAAAATGGTGTTCTATGACAAAAACAGTTTGTTTCAGCTTGCTACTCAGTTACATAAGTGCTTTTCCTCCAGGCAATTATCTGCTGTTATGTGGCAGAAATGTTGTGTGTTTACTTCCTATTTTGTCACACAAGGATCAAGGTTTAATAAAATGGATACTTTTTACTGCTTCATCAAGAACATTCTTAAATGAAACTGGCTACCCCCAGTTATGGTGGTGAGGAATACAGACTAACAGTATAGTTTGGTACTGCGGGTTGCCTTGATTCCTGCTAAGGCTCCAGCAGCGTGTCACCATTGTTTTACAGCGCAGTGGTCAACACGGTGCCAAAAGCAAGTAACGTTTCAGTATTATTATGAAAATAGTATTGACCTCACAGATGCCCTGAGTCCTAGTGATGCCCAGGTTTCTGCCCACATTTTGAATACTGATGCTCTAGACAGTACAAGATGGCTCTGATTACTGTTCTGGTGGTTTAAAATTCATTCAAATCTCGAAAAATGAATGCAACACTCTCATTTTATGTTTTTACCTATCATTTTAATAATTGTAATTTTACCTTTGAAATAGAAAAAATGCCATTTTTAAATAAAAGTCTGCAAGAGAGTACATGCTTGGCTTTATATTTCTGTGCTGCTTTCTTTTAAATACCTCATTTTATAATTGTGGATCTAGACTAAAGAACTCATTCTCCTCAGACACTGAGCAGCTTTGTTTCTGACAGCTAGTAGTCAGCTCTGTTTTAAAACAATCAATTGGGTGCTGCTGGCTCAACTTGCAGTTGTCCTAGTCCTAACCCTGTCTCAACCAAAGACTTGTTGGCAAGCCCACACAAAGGCCTTGTGTACAGGGAGCCCTAATAAGGAGCATGTTCTAGTCCCAGCAGATTAAATCTGCTTTGGTGTGCATTCCCTTTCCAGCTTTCTTATTTCCTTTGTTTACCTTGTTATTTCAATGAAAGATCATTTTTAATATCTATGAAGATAGTTTCTTCTGATGGTTACATAGTGCAAGTGGAGGGGATTACTGGAATAAAATAAAATGTTTCTTTCTCTATGGTAGGATGTGATGGAGCTGCTTGAAGAAGATCTTACGTGCCCAATCTGTTGCAGTCTGTTTGATGATCCTCGCGTTTTGCCTTGCTCGCACAACTTTTGCAAAAAATGCTTAGAAGGGATCTTAGAAGGGACAGGGCGGAACTCATTGTGGAGGTCATCTCCATTCAAGTGCCCCACATGCCGTAAGGAAACGTCAGCCTCTGGAGTCAATAGCCTGCAGGTTAATTACTCCCTGAAGGGTATTGTGGAGAAGTATAACAAAATCAAGATCTCTCCCAAAATGCCAGTGTGCAAAGGACACTTGGGGCAGCCTCTCAACATTTTCTGCCTGACTGATATGCAGCTGATTTGTGGAATCTGTGCTACACGTGGTGACCACACCAAACATGTCTTCTGTTCTATTGAAGACGCCTATGCTCAGGAAAGGGATGCCTTTGAGTCCCTCTTTCAAAGCTTTCAGACCTGGCGTCGTGGAGATGCTCTTTCTCGCTTGGATACCTTGGAAACTAACAAAAGGAAATCTCTACAGCTACTGACTAAAGATTCAGATAAAGTGAAGGAGTTTTTTGAGAAGTTACAGCACACATTAGATCAAAAGAAGAATGAAATCCTGTCTGACTTTGAGACCATGAAACTTGCGGTTATGCAAGCCTATGACCCAGAGATTAACAAACTCAACACTATCTTGCAGGAACAACGAATGGCCTTTAACATTGCTGAGGCCTTCAAAGACGTGTCAGAACCAATCATATTTCTGCAACAGATGCAGGAGTTCAGGGAAAAAATAAAAGTAATCAAGGAAACTCCTTTACCTCCCTCTAATTTGCCCACAAGCCCTTTAGTGAAGAACTTTGATACCAGTCAGTGGGAAGACATAAAACTAGTAGATGTGGATAAACTGTCTTTGCCTCAGGACACTGGCACATTGATTAGCAAGATTCCCTGGAACTTTTATAAGTTTTCTATGGTAGTCATTCTGCTTGGCCTTCTTATTTTCGTCGATCCTACTACATTCCTAGAATGGTCTTTATTTGATGAGTTCTCAATCTGGAAAGACCACCTTTCACACTTAAGTTCCTATCTGACTAAATCACCTGATTTTGTAAAACAATCAGTTTTTTACTGGGAACAGGTGACAGATGGGTTTTTCATTTTCAGTGAAAGATTCAAGAATTTTACTTTGGTGGTGCTGAATAATGTGGCAGAATTTATGTGCAAATACAAACTATTATAAAACCCATTTTAACTGCATAGTTCTCTGTTTTTTGTTAGACATTTGTTAGAGAACAGAGTGGTAGTTCAGATTTGGTGAAAGATTACAGTCAGATATTTTCCTCCAGAAGTATTCCTTTCAAAAATTTTTTACATATGTTGTTCAAATTAGGTAGCATAAAGATAAAAGTGAAATTTAATCGTACAGCCTTGAACCCTCCTTCCTTTTTAAAGAGTACTTTTGAAGTAAGCATCTTACTCCCCAGTATTGATTGCGTTTGTGCTATGTGAAAAGGGGAGGTGAGAGAGCACATGATCTAATGTTGTATTGATGAGGTAATGTAATAGTGATTGTTCACTTAAGCATGCAATAAACACTACTCTTGTAAAGCAACTTTTTCTCTCTCCAGTGAACATTCTTTAAAAAAGCAAAGAAACAGCATATGCCCAGGTTGTGGGCTCGATCCCCAGTCGGGGGTGTGGGAGGCAGCCGATAAATGATGACTCTCTCATCATTGATGTTTCCATCTGTCTTCCCCCCCCTCCTCTCTCTGAAATCAATAAAGATATGTTAAAAACAAACAAAAACAGGTGAATTGGATTTCCAGATTTTTCTACTAAGGGTTGATTTTCTTTTTTGCTAAAGTGTTTATGTAAATAAAAACTGGCATTTTCTTGTTATAATTGTACATTTTTAGGAGGGTGATTTGCACTAGCCTTTTTCTCCTTAGGTATTATAAATTTATCACCAAAGGAGTTTGGTGATAAACTTCAGAAGTGTTAGGTGGCCGACCAAACAAAGGCATAGGTTTAAAAAAAACAAAGTAACATGGCAAAGCAGGAAATGGGAAAGCCTCCTTTTTACTGACAGCTAAGTATGTGCTGTCCCAAAGTATCTTGGCAACTGTATAATCAAACAACCCACTTGCTTGAAGAATTTAAGAGTAAGACTTTTGACAATATAAAAAACAATCCATTATGAAGTACAAAGTAATCACTAACATTAATGCTGTCTTATCTGTTCACATGAGATAAAGACACACTATCTCCCAAAGAATACTTTAATTTCCTTGTTTAGAATTCAAATAAAAACAAAAGTGACCTTATCTTAGAGCCGCTCTTTAGTATATCATATATCTGTCATGGAACAAGACATTTCTTTGAAAGCCCCGAGTGTCTTTACCCCAGTCCTTTAACTTGGTTGAGAAGAGATAATACAAGGGGGACAGGAAAAAAAAAAGATGGCAATGAAATTTAAAGTACAGAAGAATCATTCTAGTTATGAGAAGCAGAGTCAAAGTAAGCTGCTGAGGTCATGGCTGTCTCATTCCAGACAATTTGTGATTGAAATTGCTAAAGGGATCATAAGAAATGATGTTTCTCTGTAAATCGTAACCTCTGCCATGAGGATTCGGTAGATAAGAGGTTTGGGGGGTGGGTGGGGAGGGTGCTTTCCTGCTCCCAGTGTGTGTGTGTGTGTGTATATATATATATATATATATATATATATATATATATATATAT